GAGATCTCCACGCAGCCTTCCCTTCTCCAGGCTGAACAACTTCAACTTTCTCAGCCGATCTTCATATGGGAGGTGCCTCAGTCCGCTGATATCCTCGTGGCCCTTCTCTGGACTTGTTCCAACAGTTCCATGTCCTATTTGTGTTGAGGACACCAGAACTGCACACAATACTCCAGGTGAGGTCTCACAGGAGCAGAGTAGAGGGGCAGGATCACCTCCTTCAACCTGCTGGTCACACTCCTTTTGATGCAGCCCAGGATACGGTTGGCTTTCTGGGCTGCAAGTGCACACTGAAGCCGGCTCATGTTCATTTTCTCATTGACCAACACCCCCAAGTCATTCTCCACAGGGCTGCTCTGAATCTCATCTTTGTCCAACCTGTAGCTGTGCCTCAGACTGCTCCGAACACTGAGGTTGTATTACAGGGACACACTTGCAGAAAAGCATGAATAAGTACATGAATGCACCTCTTTTTAAGGTCAGACATTTTGTCTGGAAAGGAATTTAATTCAGACTTGAAAGGCTCACCTGTAGTGACTTCTGTGCAAAAACATAAACAATGTGTGGTCAGTTATCACCTCCTTTGTAAAAGTGCAGACATTTTCCAGCAGCTGAAAAAGGTCCTATTTTTTTAAACAACTGATCTTATCTAGGTTTCCTGGGAGATTCTGACCTAAACTCCTAGTGCAACTGGAATTTGAAAATAAACTGGGTCACCTTTATTCTATTGGGCTGGCATAGAAAAACGCCTTTAATTTCTGTGAAATTTAGAAATGTTGCTCTTTCAAACCTGTACCTACATTCCCAAACCTATATCGGTAGCTTTTCCCTTAATGGACAGCGATTCGGTGTATTTTATGCCTCGAGTTAATTACATGCTGCTATATTAATTTTAGAACTTTAATTTACCTTGTGATTTCCTTTGCTGATGCTGGATAGGAAAGGTTGAGAGGACTAAGTTTTACTAACTGGCATATTATTTTAAATCTTCAAGTTAGATGGGAAAATAAAATTTCAGTTAGGAACCAGCCTGATGTAAAGACTTGAACTTCATTCTGTATAAAAACCTTGAACCTGTATTAATATGGAGTATAAGAAACAGACAAATTTCTTATTAGTACAAATTTGGCTGCCTTTCATTTTTTCCCATCTTGCTGTTTTAAGATAAAGTATGAAATTATTTACAATGTAACCTACATTAAAACAGGTATCTGCACACAAACTTCATATTTCATTTGTGATATCTACTGTTATTATTTTATTGTAACCTTTTATGATAAAATACTTGTTGTTCCACTCTTTCAAGAATTAGGTATAAGGTAAATATGCTGCAGTTGATAGCTAACACTGTAATTTATAGAAGTTGCTTACCTTTGTAGAAGAAGACACAAGGCATAGCTACACATCACACTAAAAATAACCTAATATTTTTGCATAAATTTAGACTAAGGGGAAAAAATGAGGCAGATAATGTCACTCTTCTGTACCATCTGCCCACTACGTAAACGTGTAGTTACAAAACTGCAATATCCTAATGTCTTGATTTCTCAAAGTACATTTACTCCTTTAAAGTTGCCATTGTTAATGTTTCTGTGTTAACTTATAAAACACAGAAAACTATTTTCTGACTTTAATTGACCTGCTGTGTCTAATGTGTGGTTTACACTGAGACAGCCATTCTTTGTATTCATCCCAGACTTGCCCCAGTTAGTAGGCAAATTTCCACCAGACTCAATGAAAGGAAAAGCAGGTCTGATGGGGCAGATTTCCAAGGCTACTTAGTTGCTGAACAACATAAACAGAAAGTGAATGAAATTTGCAAAAGTACCTGCAAGCTCATGACGAAATTCCCATGGATTCAATAACATGACTTAAAATATACAGTCCTGTGGTGTGTCTCATAAGCTTGTTAATGAAAGGGTTTTCTGGTGCTGTCATGGTGACCACTTACCATGATTTATACTACATGTAACAGAATAATCTTTAAAGTCTTCCTGTTGTTAAAGATCATTCTGGTGGTGATTACAAGCTATTCAGTCTATTTGCTTTACTCTGCCAATTAAAAAAAAAAAATAAAAATCCTCAGAGCATTAGCAAGTATTGATGGAAATGTTGCATCTGACTTAGAATTAAAATAGCGACTGGCTGTAATTTATATAATTGTGAATAGCCTGTGGGATTGAATGCACTGAAAGTGCAGAATATAATGAGTGTCACATAGTCTGGAGGATCTTTTAGATGGTGGCCCAACTTCTCTGTTTTGTACAAACATGAACTTTCCATAGGACAAGGGGTGTTTCTTCTGTCTAGAAAAAAAAATATAGACTAGCAGCAGTTTGCATAATCTTATATAATGAATTCCATACAGTTCAGTAAGGAATTTATTTCATAGCATAACTAGCAGAGGTCACTTAAGGGGCACCAGTCCATTATATTTACAGATTATTTTTTCTTGTTGCAATCTAGATTAACCCTGCTAGTTGCTTCTTCATTTAAGCTACAGTTAAGTTGCCAAGATGTCCACGGTGGTCTCAGTGTTTAATATGAGATTATCTTCATCCTTACATACATTTCTGTAAAACTGTGCTTGCCTTTACATTTTCATTAATTAAAGCAGACTTGGACCACAGCACATGCTTTTTTGAATTTCTCAAATATTCTAAACTCTGAAAGAACAAACAGAAACAGTAGTAAACTTAGTTAAGCCAGAAACAGCTTTGGTGCTTTGTCACATTGACCTATTTTGTGCAGTATTAGAGAGTAATGTGCTTCAGGTAGCAGCAGCTGTCCTGAGTTCTGTATACATTCTTCCTAAAAATTTCTGAACCCAAGTTGCTATTACTAAAACTTCTGAAGCTGAAGTAAGTGGCAGCAACGGTGGTGCTACCAAGCAGTAGCAAACATATTTAATGGAGTTGTGCTAACAAAAATGTTACCAAATAAATCAGTGTGGTTTCAATCTATTTCTCCTTGGCCAAGAGCAGCACAGAAGCCTTTGAGGCTTAACAAGAACCTTGCAAGTAAAAAGCATATTAATGCTATCTTAATGTTAAAAGTTAATGCAAAGATTCGCTAATAAAAGTAAATACTGCATTTAGCAAAATGTTCATTTATGAAATTGAGAAAATGCAGAAGTGAAAACTGAAAAGACTTTGGTTAAGTTCCCAGGGCTCAGAATATTATAAGGTTTACTCTATGTTCACACTCCTGTCACTGGGAGAGGAATCAGCCCCAGTGCTGCAAAGCAAGCCCTGCTGCAAAGCACAGTCTGAAAAAGCCTGAACCTGAAAAGACCAGTATTCCAGCTGGAGCGCAGTCAGCCTCCAGCTACTTTACACAGTTTAGAAGTGACTCTGGTGCTTTTATTTCACAAATACCGTAATAGAAAATGTGGAAGAAAAATGAGTGTGCCACACTAATTAAGAAAAAGATCAAGAATTAAAAAATATAAAAAATAAAAAAAAAATAAATTGGAAAGGGGCTCGATACAGCAGACTATTAAATGAAGGTGAAGATGTGAAAAGGAAGCTAAACGAGGATGAGAAAAGGCTCTCTGCTACATTAGCTCCAGAGGGTGTTAGGAGGAGATGCTGTAAAGATGAGAGACCAGCAATTTTTGAAAGAAACATTTGGTTTTCTGTGTTTTCCCCTATAAGTATGATAATAATTCAGGTGACTTCTGTATTGAAGCATTTATACATTCGTGTTGCGAACATGATCTAGCTTCCAGCATGATTTAAAGAAAAACAACACCCACCCCACCCCCCCCAAAAAAAAGGATATATTGATGCTGGAAACCAGCTTTAAATTCATCTCTTTCTAGTTAGGAGTGCAATTGTTTCCAACCTTCAGAGGCTGTTCGCAGTCTCCATAAAATCCTGTACTAATCTCTTCACTCTTACGCTTCACTGAAGGGCACAGAGACTGGAACAAGCTCGCGGAGATCAGATGCGTTGCCATGCCTATCAGATGCGTTGCCATGCCTGTCCGAAGCGGCAGCCAAATAACCAAGCGGGACGACTGCAGCTTCGGAACAGTCAAAATACCGTTTCTGACATAAGAATATAAAAGTACCCTGGTTTGTGAAGCGCTTTAGAGCGTTAAACACGTAGGAGTTGCACTAGCAGCATGTGTGCTACTGTGGATGTGTGAGTGAGGGTTGTCTGCAGAGCAGAATAAAACGCGAGTGTGAACACCTTATCCAGCTACTGGGAGTGAGTGCTCGAGAGGACATGCGGGAAAAACCCTCTTTCCCCCCCCCTTTCCGGCGTCCCTCTAACAATGCCAAAGCCCCTTCTAACAGTCCTTTCTGATTTAAAACACTCTTTCGAAACCCGCAAAATTACTTCATTAGGTTGCCACGGCTGACTTCGAACAAGACGAGGCCGCCGGGCTCCAAAAAGGGCAGGTCGCCATACAGACCCGACAGGTACCGAGGCACTTGGTCGCTTCAGCCGAGGGGCTCCCGACAGCGCAGCGGGGCAGGGCGGGGGGGCCTGCAGGCGGGCGGAGGGGCTGGGCTGGGCTGGGCTGGGCTCCGCGGGGCGGGGGGACGGGGAGGGCGGAGGCTGCGGGTGGGGTCTGGCAGTGACTGATGGGCCAGATGCTGTTGAATGTTTTAGAAAAGGGGGGGGCCCTACGCCGCTGGCCCGATTGTAGCCACGGGAGTTGGTGCGCGGCTGACGGCAGCCGGGTTGTGCCACAGCCGTCCTGTCCTTCCCGGCTCCGTGTCCCGGAGTGCCTGCCCATCGCCGGAGAGCGGCGTCAGCCGGCCTCGGTGACACGGAGAGGAGCAGCCAGCTAGAGCCTGGGGCAAGGCAGCCGGCGGGGTGCGTCTCCTTCGCTCAGCAGGCAGAGCCCCGGAGGCTGCGGGCGGGCAGGATCGGTTCCGCTCAGCTCCGCGAGGTGAGGGGGAGAGGAGCGGGTGGCAGAGCGCGGCGGCGCTAAGCAGGTCTCCTGCTGGAGGGGGCTTTTCGCCCCAGCGCTGCTCTGCCGGCTGCACCGCCAGCCCCGCCGCCAGTCCCCGCCCGGTGGCAGGCAGCGCCCCGGCTCCGTCCCCGGGTACCGGCGCCTTCCTGGGCTCGCTGTCCCCACGGCTGACGCCCGGTCCCTTCTCTCCGCGCAGGTCGGCGCTGACGACGGCGGTCGCCCGGCGGGGGATCAGCCGTGCCGCAGCGCTATGCCCGCTACCCGGCCGTGGCGGCTGCCCGCCCTCCTCCTGCTCTTGCTCCTCGGCTGCCGCGCCGCCGCCGAGGGCGACGCGTCCGTGCGCTCGTCAGGCCCGGGCGGGCAGAGCCCGACGTCCGGGACCCCTGCGGTGAGGGGCGCCGAGCTTAATGCCTCCCGCCCGGCCGCGCTACCCAGGGGCGGTGGGGCGGCTGGCGGGCGGCCGCGTTCGGCCTCGCCCCCCATGTGCACCGGTCAGACGGAGATTAAGGAGACTTTCAAGTACATCAACACGGTGGTGTCCTGCCTTGTCTTCGTGCTGGGCATCATCGGCAATTCCACGCTGCTGCGGATCATCTATAAGAACAAGTGCATGAGGAACGGCCCCAACATCCTCATCGCCAGCCTGGCTCTGGGCGACCTACTCCACATCATCATTGACATCCCCATCAACGTCTACAAGGTGAGGGGGAGCCCGGAGTGGGTCCGGACCTGTTCTTGGACCTTCCCGGCAGGTACCGGGCACCACCGCGGGGGCCGAGGGCAAACGCGCCCCTTCTCTGGCTGGAAAACCTGCGGGACTTCACGTCATGCCAAAAAGGTGATGACAGAGGGTGGTGTTGTGGTAAGATGTTGTCCCAAATGGCACCCTCTCTCGTGCCCCAGTCCTAGCCCTCTCAGCGGTCCAAGCTGGGAATGTGGCAGAGGTAACTTGCAGAGACCAGGCTCTGCAAGTCACCTGGAGACAGGTGTTGTCCCGGAGATAAAGGTGATGAATGCAATAGATAAATGCGCGATGGATGCGTTGCTTCCCTCCTTTCTCCCGAGGAATGGAGGGGAGGGCACAGACGACTCTTTCCTCTGAGTACCGCTCGGTCCCTGCTGCTCAGCTGGGGCATGCTTAGTAGTAATACTTAACTTGGGTCCCTACAGTCGCTGTTGGCATGGGGCCTTTACTCAAGAGCTACAAAGATCATTCAACAGAGCGATTTGTTCTATACATCTCGCGGTTGTGAAGCATGATGCTCTCCTGAGCTGTGAGCTTTCCCCTGTTCGCCAGTGATGCAGCATGGACAGCTGAGAGGGAGTGCACCACAACAACTGTCCTTGCACCTTCGTTACTCTGACCTTTGGCATGGTGAGGCTTGCCACAGAAGGAGAACAACTTCTGTCTTGTCTACCAAGCTTGTGCAGGCCGTGGTGTTGAATCCAGCCTCTGGTTAGGATCAGCACTCTTAGGAGGGATGCTGCAAATAACGAGACACCTGCCTTGAAAGTTTACAGTCTGAGTGTCCTCATCAGTTACTGTTTGAAGTGAGCATGAGAACCTTCACCTGTCATCTCCTCACTTCATATGCATGTGTTTAAACTCTGGGGTTTGTTACTTTTAGCTCTGGAAAAAAATATGTTGAAGGGAGTGGGTCTGAATTTAGTCTATCCCTAGTGGTTACTCTCAGAAGCTGCTGAAATGGTAGAATCCTGTATCTTTATCCTTTTAAAGTACTGAAGTATTACAAAGCAGGGAACATCATAACTGTTAAATTCGCCAGCCAGATAATTTGGATTACACGACAGTTTCCTCAGTTTAGAGTTTCAATATTTTCTATGCTATATATTTATCATATTCATTTGTGAGAATGTGGTCTCATCTGAGAGTGGAATTTATGAAACAAAATACTTTACACTGTTTTTAAAAAATGTACTTTTTTTGTGAAAAAAAGGTATTGAACAAAAAGATTTTTCATCTGTTCTCAGGAAAGTCCAACTGATTGATTCAATGACAATGGCTCAGTACAGGACTTTGCAATCTCGGTGACACTATTTCAAAATTAAATTAATCATAGCATGCAATGATATATGACCGTGCTTATCTTGATTTAATGTCATCAAGTGTATCATTCTGAGTAGGTAGGTTGGAGGGGGAGGAATAAACCATCAGATTGCAAACTGATAAATATGCTACCAGTTGCAAGTCCGGGATATTTATTATGCTATTGATAATGCTGAGAGCTAAGCAATAGCTCTCAGATGCTAAATCTCCCACGCTGCTACTCATCTTAAATGAAGATCCTATATTAAATTTGTATTATCCCTTACAATAGTGAAATATTTGCTTTTTTAAAACAGGACTATTGAATAGATGTGAGTTATAAATAAACCACCTCCCACCTTCCCCAACATTAGACATTATGTTTTTTAATCAAAAATAAGAGTTTGTATGTGGTTTGAGTTTATGGTAACTTTTTATCCACTCTACATCCCATTTAATTCCACCCGCAGAGCGCTGTTATGAGAGAGGATGCAGTAGTGCAATGTAAAGCTGGCTATGATCACCCAGCAGCAGGGGAAGAATAAAAGTTTGTAAATCAAGTATACTAAACAGTTGTAACTTGCAATTTGAGACATTTTAAAACTGGATGAACCAAATCTTCAAAATAGCTACCAGATCCTCAGACAGCAGCTGCGTGAAAGAGAGTGAGAGAATTCCTCATGTTAGTAAAATGCCAGTAGTTTACTCAATAACACTTGTAGTAGAAAGTGTGAAAGTGTCTGTGAATGCTTTCCAGACAGATACACATGAGAGAACACAGAGTTCTCACTTGGAGCAGCATTTTGTTAGCTATTTAAAGTGATAACTTAAGAAGATGTCTCTGTGACTATTTAAGTGAATATGTGAGTAGCTGAAAAAAACATAACAAATGGAAATTTACATCTCTTATATTGTGGGGCTCTGAGGTAAAGCAGGTGTTAGCCAGATTGGGAAGCACATGCAATCCAATATATAAGATGCTAAGAAAAGTCTTGAGACAATCATTATGCAGTACAGAATGCTGTAGCAGTGTGGAGGCTTTGCAAAATTGCTGCTAATTGGATGTGAAGGTGGTCCTATGCCTAGTCAACTGCTTCACTGAACAGACTTAAGTAAGCATGTTTTTGTTAATTTGAGACAGCAATTAAAGGTGTGGACACGAGGAGCAGAAGGATAGAGTAGGTGGTTGGTGAACTTTTTATGTCCTTCTCTGCACTTAGTCTTTGGAAAACAAGACAGTGGCAGCTTGTGTACCTGACAGTACAGATCTGCAGTTCTGGAAGGCTTATGCTCTTTTTCCCAGATCAGTAAAGTTGGTGACTCCTGCATGTGAAACACTAAAATAACATAAGATTGGAAATTCCAAACTTACATTAGCTCTGCCCCTCATGCATGTATGCGTAATGAGATAGGAACATAGACTTTAAAAAGCTGTATTCAAATAATATAATAACATGCTTTTTCTTCTGATACATAGATGACATCTCTCTCACTTTGTAATATTTATCTCTTATATTAAGTCAAATTTATTGTCATGTTCCAGTGGATTTTTAACGGGGGAACAATCTATCCTTTGTACACTTTTTTGTGGCTTTCAGAACTTTATCAATTTGCTATGACACAGATGACTGAGGAAGCATATCTGCTTGGAAATACTGTCACAGCTTCCTTTATCTCAGAGCAGAGGAAAAAAAAAGAACGAGGGAAGGAACAAAACCTTGTCTTTATCCAAGCCAATTAGCAAAGACCAAAGTAAATGGCCTTGTTGTCTGTGGGGTTTTTTTATCAAGGCAATGATGTATTTTTTTTTTTTTCCCCAGTAATGTATTTTAGGGATTACATAAAAAAATACTGTTAACATAAAGCATTAATAAGCACTGGAAATATAAAACTAGGTCAGGGACTACATATTCCAGAAAGGTGTGAACAGGCCCCTTTGTTAATCCAGCTGTGCTCTTAAAAAGGGTGAGATTCATATGGAAATGTCTTTGTGATGGCTTTACTAACTTGTAATTCAAATACCTATAGGGCATGCATCATGATAAAGCCAATCTTTGCCCAAATTTCCAAGAAAGTCAAAGTACTTACCTTTAGAAAACGTTGTTACTACTCCATATGACAACTCTCGGCCACTGGTTCCTCTGATGTTAAAGATAACAGCCATTTTACGGGGAGAAATGTATTCTTTCCTTTCTGTCAACATCTGAACCACTTACTTGAGGTCTTACAAAGTTCATCTCAGAATTTCCTACACAAAATTTATTGATCTCTAACCACGTTAAACTAGAAGTCTTGTTTTGCTTAGGATCCTTTTATGGTCAACAAGTGCAACGTACAGGCACTTAAGAAAGAAAGAATTGTCCAGAGGAGGAATCTGTCTAGACTTCACAGGCAATGGGGGGTAACTGTTATGTAGTTAGATGGGAACAATCTATTCTGAAGTCCAATTGATGAAGTAGTGGAAATGTCAATGTGTTGTTAAAAGTACACATATATAGTTTTCATGATGAGTTTCCAAACTGAAGCATGTCAGTTGATGTCAGTACAGCTTTGTAAATCTATTTTTTGTTACTACATGTATATTTGCTGTGTATACATTCAGTTAAAAGATGCATGTGACAAATTTCAAAACAAAGTTTTCACCTTATTTGGGTTATTAGGGTTGTTTTCTTTTTTCTATCCTGTGTTTATGCTTCCCAGTCTGACACCAGTGTGGCTTTCTTAATGCTTATTTTTGTTGCTGTCCTATAACCGTGATTGTGAAATCACAGAATTATTTTACTTCAGCAACACATTATGAGGTTTCAGTAATTTTCAATATGTCTGTATGATATTCCTTTATCTTAATTAAGCACTTAAAAAAATGTTCAAAGCAGAAGTTACTAATTAAAAACATGGGTTTACACTTCTATTCTAAACACATAAAACGTTCTCAGCTTAACTAGGAAATGTATTTTCTTGTCTAGAGTGAATATCCCCCCCCTGACATCATAATTATTGTTAAATATTAATAAGTTTTGTAAAGTCTGACTTATCCCTGACTACAAGATTAATTTCCTGGGCAAATTTCCTGTTTTAAGAAATGCTTGCTCCTATGAAATACTAAAAAATATTTTATCTATCTTCATGACCTCCCCATCTCAAAAAGTATCAGGTGAAAACCTGCCAGTCATTTCACAGACACATGGAAAAAAATGTTGCTTGTGTATAGGGTGTACAGTTGCACGTCTGATTTCCTGTGGAGCGCTGCATTCATGAAGATTGAGTCTTCTTACCCTGTGAACTAGGCTTGCTGCAAACACACAGCTAGGAGGAAATAGGAATTCCTGCTCTGTTTCACATGCATTCATGGCTCAGCACTAGAACATCGATGTAAGTGCACACTTTACTACTTCTTCATGTCTGACTGTAGCAAGTCAACAGTTGTGGAATGGAGCCATGGCATCAGCCTTGTGGCTGGTGGCCACAGCAGCTGAGCTATTGAAAGCAGCATATTGTGCTCCTATGTTGGCATATTGTGGCAGCAGATTATGAATATCTTTTTGTTCTTGCACAACCAAAAGGAAGCAGGGCAGGAATTGTAATTCACAGGTGTGTCTCTGAGTCACACCATCTCTTGGGGCTGCTTTCATAGCTGTGCAGCTTTTACATCAGGTTAGGCTTGGATCTCTGGTCTGAGAAAAGTGTTGTCTGTAGGAGTGCATCAGAGTTATTGCTTCTTTTAAGCATGATTTCACTTCATTCTGCAGTGTATTCCCTTTCCCTTTGTTCTATTTCATTTCATCTTCAGCACATCTCTGTGGTTTAGGAGTTAAAACTTCAGCCACTAAGTGACTATAAAACATTGGAAAAGGTCATTCGGAATACAGACAGTGGTAAACTTCTCTTGGCATTTTACTCATGAAAACACAACATTATTTTTCTCTTTGCTGCCACTTGGCAGTATCTCATGGCTCTAAGTCATTTGTGAAGTGGCACTCTTTGTATAGATACCCTATTATGAATTATAAGAAAACCCTTTTACCCATGCAAAATCGCATTAGGATGCGTCTGTACTTCACTAGGAAGAATCATGGCTCTTGCCCACAAATATGATGCTCCTGAATACAGTGATTTTTCACAGTACTTTAAGGCAGTGTTTTAAGGAGATGGCAATCCACAGGACAAGCAGAAACAACAAAGAAGCATAGTTCAGGAATTAAAATATTCTGTTTTTTTCCCCTTTTACTTTCTTAACATTTTCAGGCTTTTGCTGCAAGCATATCATTAGCTGCTTGCAATACCATGATAGAGAGACTTGTGACTCATGCATTAAAATGCTCAAGTATATATATATATACATCAGCTGGAAAAGATAATGGAGACTTTTTTTTCCAATCCAATGCAGACAGCTGTGTGTCCATCCTGTTCCTGATTTAAGCTAGCAAGTCATATTTTGATGTTATGCTAAACCCAAGCTAATGCACCCTTTCTCTCAGTTGACCACATTCACTCATGCACAGTGCTATGCTAATCCAGCCATATGGCTTCCAAGCTGGAGCTGGCTCAAATCCAGTCAGCTTGGAGCACAGGTGTGACTGTCTGCACCTGAGAGATAAGCATTAGTTCAGGGAAATCTCCAACCTGTGGCTGAGCTGTTGTGATTTTAGGGAAGAGAGATGAGGGAGTGTCTTGGCATGTACACCAGCTAGTTGTAGCTGAAAGTCTTCAACAGAATCTGCCAACAGAAGTTTGAACAAAGGTCTTAATTTCAGTTCAATGAAGAAAAAAATACATTTTGATTCTGAAGTGCTTTTTTAATGAGTCATCTCTGGTTTAATATGTACACATGTACAATAGACAACAGATACTATAAACAAGTATAAAATGTACTTGCTACCAAGTCTTTGATTTCTATAGCAATTATGTGTGGTAGGCTGGAGGCTCCCTGCCTGATTGATATAAATTAAATGAGACCAGGTGTCATCAGGTTATGTAAAGTGTACATTTAGAACACCTGTAATGATTCACATAGCAATTTTAATAGTAGTTTGTTGCTATCGCCCCCTTACAGCAATTCAGAAGAAGGCTTAGGGAGAGGCTTTACTGAAATACTTTGATTACAGATTGAGTTATTTTTCTCACATCACATAAAGAAAAAGTTATCGTATGGTTATTACAACCTCATCCCTACTTCCTCTGCTTTATTACTTTCCATAAGAGTCTCAAGAAAAAAAAATACCTAGAATTTATATTTCTGCTTCATTTCTGCAGAAGCATTATACTCTTTGTCTTACTTGAGTAGATCATTGAAGAAATAGAAGTTCTCATTTTGGCATAGGACTAAGGCAGATTTTGAAAGGTATTCTGGTATCTAAAAATACTGGTGGGCATTTTATTGGGATTTCCAAAAGCACATTGTCATGAAGTGTACTTACCTTTCTTCATGTTAAAATAAAATTATAGTTAAGTTATTATCAAGGCTTTAAAAAAACTGTTGACTGTGTAATTGTTTATTCTGGGATGCATGTGTATGTGTGCTAAAGGAATTTGCTGAACCAAGTCAATGTTAGCAGGCAACTCCGTGGCTACCAGTCTTCAGTCATTTTGGTCCCCAGCAGAATCTATACAGTATGATGACCTATTTCTTCTTCTACTACATCAATATTAAATGAGATATCTGAGGAGACCTGAGCCAAGGGAAAATTTTGCAATCTCTTTTTGGGTAGTTACCATTTTTCTTTCTTCTTCTTTTCCATATTTTTGCCTTCTAAGATGTCTGAGGAGACCTGAGCCAAGGAAAGGATTTTGCAATCATCTTTTGGATAGTTATTGTTCTTAACTCTCCTTTTCCATTTTGTAGCCCACAATCTGCAACAGATCCAAAAGACCTCATTTAAACAAAGTTACGAAAAACAGAAATGCCCTTAGATAATGTTAACTAATTACAGAAACTCGGAAAGTTTCATATATAATGATTGCGACTATTTCTTGGCATAACCTCTGTTCTAAAGAGTCTTCTTTTTATGAGGAACTGGAATATTTGGCTTCTGCTGTGATGTATTTGAGCCCTTATATTGAGCTCACAGCAGAGTACAAAGCTTAAATGTTTCTGAAGTGAAGCGAACAGGCGAACAGTTCATAGCATCAGCTGCTAGGAAGGTGCTTGCTGTGTCCAGTAAGTCTCGTCCCCTAAATCAGATAAAGCGTACTGCTAAAATGTAAAATGGGATGTGACAGATTTCCATTAAAGTGTATAACCTAAAGTGCAGTTGAATCAATCTGAAATCATTGAGCTCTTTTATTCTGTAGCACTTACAAGTATGCTTAATGCTCAGGTAGTCCTTTCAGTATTGTAATAAAGAATCATTGAAAAAACTGGTCAGTGAAGATCTTCAGTGAGTGATTCAGAGATGATCTATCATTACCTTCTGCTAAATATTAATATCCAACAAGCTGTTTAGCCTCCCTTAGTATCCAGTAGGTCCCTTCTTTCATTATCAGATGGTCAGCTAAGAACTATGGGATTCATTTCTCTCCAGCATTTCCTGACTTCTTAGCTGATGGAGCCTAGACACCAAGCTTCAAATAAACCCCACTCCAGATGTGCCCTTGTTGACATTGCCCTGTTCTGCTCAGCCTTAAGTAATTTTCTGTATTTCTAGTAAATGGAGAGTTACTTGAACACATAAGAAAAGCACATGAACACTGGAATGGTGAAGTTGGAAGCAAAATAAGTGGAGTTCGTGGGGCTTAAGAAGTCAGGACTAAGCTTTTATGCATATTCTTGCCCAGCCAGCGAGTAACTGTAAAGCTACTGGCTAGTTTTTAGGACACACATTGGAAACTCCCTTCTCAAAAGGCAGTTCTTGACTAAGTTTTACACGGCAGAAAAAAAAGTCAAGACAAAGGTCTATGTTTCAGCTTTAGGAATTATTTTTTAAAACCAGTTTATTTCTAACTGTTATTTTCTTTTCACAGCTACTTGCAGAGGACTGGCCCTTTGGTGTTGAAATGTGCAAATTAGTACCCTTCATTCAAAAGGCATCAGTGGGCATCACAGTGCTGAGTTTGTGTGCCCTCAGTATAGATAGGTGAGACCTATTTTTCATCAAACTCTCTTAATTGCTTTTCAATGTGGGCTGAAATTTGCCTTTCTGCTGTGCTGACACAACATGAATAAGTGGGGTTGCCAGTTAAACCAAGTTTATTTTTTGCAAATGTGTGCTGTTGCTTCAGGTACCGAGCAGTTGCTTCTTGGAGTCGCATTAAAGGAATTGGAGTGCCAAAGTGGACTGCTGTTGAAATTGTACTGATCTGGGTTTTGTCGGTGATACTGGCTGTTCCAGAAGCTATTGCATTTGACATGATTACGATGGAGTACAGAGGAAAAGATCTTAGAATCTGCTTGCTTCACCCCACACAGAAAACATCCTTTATGATGGTAAGACACTGACATTTACAAAATCTCCAGAACAGTTCCTTCCATTTTCGTAGTGCTGCATGGATTGTAATTTGTACAAGTGTAGGTGAATGTAACGTTCAAATGAAATACTGACAAATTCCTGAATTATATTGATTAAAAGAAGAGCACTCAGAAGCTTTATCTTTTTTTGGGCTTTGGGCATAATACTTGTCTTGTTTTCTTATCTGTAACCTACACCTTATAGAGATGCTTTTCTGGACAGACTGACCAGCTAGTTATAGCATACTTTCCAAAATGCTTAGCATTCAGCTCCTAACAATAACTTTGGTTTTGTTTTCTTTGTAGTTTTACAAGCAAGCTAAAGACTGGTGGCTGTTCAGCTTTTACTTCTGTTTGCCACTGGCTATTACAGCATTTTTCTATACTCTTATGACCTGTGAGATGTTACGAAAGAAAAGCGGGATGCAGATTGCTTTAAACGACCACTTAAAACAGGTAAAAAATTATCCCTGACCTCTGCTGTCTGTAGAGAGGTTAACAATAATACCTTTAATGGCTTTACCTTCACTTAATTATTCTGTTCCTGTATGGTGACTTCAAGATTATTAGTAAGAAGTTCCCTAGTAGTGATGTTGCTGAGCTCTTAGATACATATATTAATATATATATATCAGAGCCCTCAGAAACCTAAGATTTTAAGTTTCAATCACAAAACTGGTGGTTAATGTTTTTTTTTTCTTGTTTGATGTTAATCCTTCATGTTTTATAGTTTTTATTTCTTCACAATAGTGAGAGCTGAATATTTTGTAATGAAAACTGAAGTTGTCCTCTAAACCTGTTAACTATTTTGAAGCCATTTCATGCTGAACTATAGTGAGGTTAGCAGTATATGTTATCAGGAAACAAACACATGCCAAAATACAATCCAAGTTAGTAGTGCACCAGGCACAAACATATTATTACTCATACTTTTTAAAATTGGATATACAAAGAATCAGCGCAAGACATCTAAAACAATAGAAAAGATTGAGTACACATTCCAAGAAAATAAGGTATTTGATGTTCTCCGAACTCCTGTGTTTTGATAGTGTTTTTATTTTGTTTATTGAACATTGGATATTAAAAGACAACAGCAATTAAGAAACAGAAACTATAACTATTCTGTCCAATTTTCTTTTTCAGAGACGTGAGGTGGCCAAAACTGTGTTCTGTCTGGTACTTGTTTTTGCCTTGTGTTGGCTCCCACTTCACTTAAGCAGAATATTGAAACTCACTATTTATGATCAGAAAGACCCCAACAGATGTGAACTTTTAAGGTGAGATTGCAGAAATAAAATGTCTGTGCACTGATGGCATTTTACGTAAGATTTTTTGGATTTCCTAATTAACTAGATTACTCTGTGTGTCTGAAGTTTTTCCTGCTACTTCATCCAGACACTCTGGTTTTGATCCAGTAGCAAAGTCAGAAAACTATGAGGAATCCCCCTGTTTGCCCTGTCTTCCTCCTGATCCCTTCTGGGGCTGTCCTACTGTCTTGTGGCACTATGAGGGTGGAGGGGGAATTTCTATCCCCATTTCCCTTTCAGCAGAACAGCGAGGATTAAATCTGTGAAGAAAACCTTGTGAATATTTCCTCCCACGAGCTACGGTGGTTGGATCTTCTGAAATTACTTTCATGAGAATGATCTTACTGGTTAAACATAATTATTGAGCACAACTATTACCTCCATGAGTTAATCCTGCTGATATAAACCCCTTATTACTTTAGCTAGTCTTGGTTGAGTGAAGCCGAGTCAAATTTTCATAGTTGTAAACCTCTATTAAGCCTTTTCAGAGAAAAATGAGAAGTGTCTCACTTTAATTTTCACACAGCTTTTTTCTTGTGATGGACTACATTGGTATTAACATGGCTTCACTGAATTCCTGCATCAATCCGATAGCTCTGTATTTGGTGAGCAAAAGATTCCAAAACTGCTTTAAGGTAAGAAGCTGCTGAGAGCTGCTCCTCTGGTTAAAAGATGATGTCAGCAGTAAAATTCATTCCTTAGCATGCAAAAGTGTCTTAAATGGTCATTAAATTTGACTTTAAATTTTAACAGGGTTATTGTAGGTATTCTCTCCCTGTTGAAGCTACATAGAAAGGAATTAAGGATTCATAGAGACAAAAAAGAAAGCAAAAGAGTGGAGTGTGTAATAAACCCTTTTGGCACCATGCTAATCAGTGGTACATCACTTCCTGACACCCAGTTGGCACCCAGCCACTTGTAGAGCACTGACAAAGCAGACTCAGACTGAGCTGCAGAGATTCACTTAGCCATATCCTCTGCAACCCAACAGGGAGAGTGCTGACCCCAGGTTCCTCCCATCCTGATGGATGCAGTTAGGTAAGGCAGAGGGTGCAAGTATCCACCTATCCTTTTCCAATGCCAACATTTTGAGACAGGCCTGTTTGTAGTTTTCTGTTGGTTTACATGAACAGTCCTGGGCCTTAATTCTTCACACAAGATTTAAGGCTTTGGATCACATGCGGATTGCAGCCCATCTGTCTTTCCACCTTCATGTCCAGATTTTTTATTCTTATGGCCCCTGATGTCTTCATACACTGTATCAGGGTTACTACATTGTCTACCACAAATTCTTAGATTTTTCTTTTCTTGCCAGGCATTTAACTGTTGGCCACTGCTAGGCTTATTACCTGGCTGTGTTGAATTCCTTCCTGACTATATATTTCCATCAGAAACCAATCAGCTCTACATCTAGTAGCATTAGTGTATTTCCCAAATAACTGTGACAGCACATGTTGGAGAGGCTTTATTGTCAGTCTTGCCTTCCCTGTCTACATTGAAAGAATCACTGGAGCTGGGAGCATGTAAGAGATCTCTAGCTTCCTGAGCATGGAAGGAAGTGAGTATGCAGGATCCCAGATGGACTTGCAGCACCCAAAACCAGTCAGTAGCATCAGCAAAAGGTCTGCAGTATATCTAGTAAATGTATAAACTGTGTGTGGGTTTTCACCACTCTCCTATTTGGTTTTCTTTTTCTCCCCTCAAAAAAGAAAACAAAATCAAATAAATAGCATCTTGCCTAGAAAGTGTAGATTACAGAGCATACATTTTTCCCAAGAAAAATTATCAGAGAAAGGACAAGGAGTCATGATTTTATTTTCAGATGCATTTACAGATACAAACTAGACTTGAAGTGACATGTGTGTGGCTATTATTAATATATGTAACTCAATATAACTCTTCCTGCCCTTCATCACTCAGGTTGCTAATGGGGCATCACAATAGTGACCATTTGAGCAATGTGGGCTTAACCTTGTTTGTTTGCTCACATTGTAATCTGAAAATGGCAGCTCGTACATTTGCCATTTCCTACTGTACCACTGCAGAAGGGCAGCTTTTCAGTGCGTTTGCCACATGTGCAAGACAAAATGATGTAAAATGTTTATTTCTTTTATTTTAACAGTCATGCTTGTGTTGCTGGTGCCAATCCAAAGATCTGTTGTCCCTGGAGGAAAGGCAGTCCTGCCTAAAGTTCAAAGCTAATGATCACGGATATGATAATTTCCGCTCCAGTAACAAGTACAGCTCTTCGTAAAACAAGCATAAAATATATGTTCTCCTACATTAATGCTGGTGCCTTTTTAAGTAAAAGTGGCAATTACTTTTAATGAGATAGTAACGTTTAGAAAAATCCAGTTCTGTGTTTGCACGGAAAAAGAACATTAAAAGAAGTTGCCCAAAATTGTGTCACATTGAAAAGCGCAGATATTTATAAAATCATCATTTATGGAACATGAAGAAAAATGCAGAAAGAACAAGTCATTGTTAGCACTTGAATACTTTTGAATCAGCACTTCCAAATGAAACCCGCTTCCTGTGCATTAAACGATCGTTTGTATTCACTATAACAGTTGTAGGAACTGAAGTCACAGTAATTACTAAGCAGTATAATATAATGTTAATTGGATCAAAGCCATTATTATATATAACTTAGTGTATTATCTTTTATAAAGCAGATTAACCACCATCACTGTTGTGGGATTTTTTAAAATAAAACATGAAATACATTGTAATAGAAGTTGAATGTAAAAAAAGTGGAATTTTGTCAGGGATATTTTAGACATAGCTAATGAAAATATTAAAGGACACAGTTAAATCACAAGTGCATTTCACTCTGATTATTGTTTTTACCTATTAGTGTTAGAAAGAACCTCCTGTGCCCTCTATAAATACCATTCTGTAACCACTGTGCATGTTCATTGCATTTGGCAGCACTCTGGGTATGGTCCATATCACTGTTTCCATGTTATTTGTATTTAAAGACAGTGGAGGAAAGAAAAATATACCAAAAGTAAAAATTAATACTACTAGAACCATACAGATGATGGCTAGTATTGGAAATCAACTATTTTGAACTGAAAATGAATTGATTGTATCCTGTGTAAACAGTGGGCATTCACGAGCATTGTGGTTCTTTACTTGAGACACTTTTGCAGCAATTTACAACTGTTTTTACAATACAAATACTGTCTTGGGGCAAAATCTTCTGAAAATAGCAGGTACAAAAAAATGTACCCAAGGAAAACAGGGAGAATTTGAACTTCTATTTTCATTTAAATCTTCATAAAGAAAATTATTCACAAACTGTACTTGTAGAGAACAGTACTATGTTGTGCAGTCGTTTCTGTAGTCCTGTGTTTATGGGCTTAAGAAGATGTGTGATTAGTTTCTGCTTCTGTAAATAGTTTAGTGAAGCATAAATAATTGTAAAGTATTAAAATACGGGCAGGACCCTGCAAGAAGACAGAAAGGTAAAGATGCCTGTAGTAAACATGATGTGTGTTGCCGGGAGCAATGCATGTTTTGTACATACATGACAGGGCATTCTTTGGCTTTTAATTTCCTATTAATTTGTTACAGATGTCCCCAAAGACTTATTAACATATTTTGTGCATTAAAGCATGAGTTTTTCAAGAAAAAAATGTCATGTAACATGCTTTTATAAAAGACATGTTTTCAATAGTCATGGTATTTTATTGTAATAAAAATATTTATCAAGACTCAGGAATTTTTATTTTTTTTAAATTTCCAAATTTCACATGTAAGGATTTTTACTTTTTTTTTCCCAGTTTCTATTAACTTCAGATTTTTTTAATAAAGTGCCTTAAATATGCTCAGGGTGAAAGCAGTTTTCATTAAAATGTTCAGTTGATGTTAACCTTAGGTAGGTGTCATCTCATCTGACTTTACGTAGCTGCAGCTACCTTTCAGACAGCTAAAAAACAGGAGAGGTGAACCCCATTCCTGGTATTTCCCCCATCAAAAGCTAGTAAGGGTATTCTTTTATAATCAAGCTGAGGACCAATGCACATGCATTTGAGCATGGGCACATATTGTGTTTGTGCGTGTGAGTGTGTATGCAAGTGTATATGTTGTCTACCGTTAGGTTGCTCTTGCCATCTTTCTGCAACACATGCACCCAACTGCTACAATGCTGAACTTTTATAAATATAAATCTATTTAAAGTTTCGTTCTTTGCATTTTTACACGAACTTTCGCGGTAACTTACTCATGGTAAGCCATGAATATCACTTCACTTTACCTTGCCTGCATCTATTTCCGTGAAATGCATTTCATCTGTTAAGGATGGATAATCAATTAAATACTAAGTTTGATACTGATCAGTATTATTTTCATCGAGTTATAGCATTACACTATTGTACATATATATTATTGTTATTTTTATTTAAAATATAACTGTTTTATTGGCAACTGTGTAACATTTTTCATTTTTTTTCATGGACTAATTCTTTAAGACAAGTCCTCTCAGTCAGACATATAGGTTTTGCAAATATACTGTCCACTTTGGAGTTAATATATACATATTAGTAGACTTCTTGTATTTTCTGCTCTTAAACAGTTCTAGCTGAGATTAAATCTCAATACTGAACACAGGCATTTTCTCAAGTCTTCAGTACAGCTCTATTCCTCCATTCACTGAAATCGATGAATGTTTAACTAATTCGGTTGGAACAGAATTAGGGCACAGCAATAGTATTCTTTCAAAAACCTAGCTGATGTGCTACCTTGGACAAGGAGTTGTTTAGAAAAGTTAGGAAAAAAAGATCTGCTCGCAGGGGTAAACCAGGTAGTCTAAGGCCATTTAAGCCTTAAACAGGGGGTCACAGGTAGCAGAACAACTGTGCAGAGGCACATGCATCTTTATAGGAGTTCAATGTGCTTGCCCAGAGTGATGTGACAGAGTAAGAAGAATCATCTGTCCCAATGGCCTGAAGAGTTGACACAGCATGGCTTAAGATGAAAAACCAAACTTGTAAGTAACTACATCACTTCTCTGTGTTTTGGCCTTCAGACAGATTTTACTTCCCCAGCTGCTCTGAATTTTGCTTGCATACAGCTCTCTTGGACTTAAGAGAGGGTATTTTGAACTGAGTGGACTCAACTGATACACTGGTACTGCACTTCAGAGAATCAAATGCAAAATGTGATGGTTATGGAGCATCTGCTATGAGCTGTGGTGTTTAAGTGTCCCAGACAGCTCTTAATCAACATGTAGCTGGCTTAGCAAAAGAATGTTGTATGTACTGAAATAATGTTAAAAGGATTTTTTTTTTTAATTGTTTTGTGTAGCTGTGTAAAACAATTCTATATTTCATTTTCTGTGGTCATTTAAAATAGCAACATTTTGGCTCAGACAATGTAAACATACTAAAATATTTGTAAACATACCAATAAAATATTTGTGATTTTAATTCATTACAAAAAGAAGTCTCACCTTTTTTCTTCTAGGGGGTACCATTTAATTCTTAAGCAGTGACAGTGCTGTAAGAAAAGAAGTAAGCAATTCAGAACTAAAAAAGCTTTGGGGTGAGCTGGTTTTACATAGTTGAAAATTGGAGAGCTTTCAGACTTGCATACGCATTGTAAAATTGCCTGATGTTTGTTGGAACAATCAGTCATGCCTGTCTTTGCTCTGTTTTTGCTCAAAATGTCAGTTGCCATCTCTTGTCTATGCACCCATATATAGTCACAAATCCTCCTGTCTTAGGGACATCCAAAATAAAAGGCACAAAACTTTTAGCTTGTTAATTTGGGATTGCATGCACTTGATGCTAGAATATGCCACATGAAAACTATCTTTGTATCCCTTTGTATCCTGACAGTGTAATTTTGTGCATACTTCCATTGACCTTTCTTAAAGCAGTGGAAAACAGTATCAGACTAAATATGCTGATTCTGGTTAAATATATATCTTTATATGCTTGCGTTATCTGTACACCCCAAAAGGTGTTTGCTACAACTGCTGTTTTATTCCAAGTAGTTATGTTCCCTTTTGTTTAATTGGTGGCCTGCTGCATCCAGGTAGATTTGTCTTTTTTTATGGCCCAAGGACTGTTAGCACATTGTTTCAAGTTGCCATTCCTGGAACAGGAGCACCTGTAGAGAACGAGGTCCCTTGTAAGTAAATGTTTTAGTTATACCTCTTATGGCCTCTTCAGTTCCTTTTTCTTCATCTTATGCTATGGTCCAAAGTCTTCACCGACCACCCATGGAGAATTTATATATATATATTTCTGCTAAGATCCTACAGCTCTCTACAGGTAGGCCATAGTCTTTACAGCCCAGCTAACTTATTTCCTTGCCACAATTTGCTTTTCTAACTATTCGTCTCATCCACAGTTTTATCTACTGCAGTCTTGGCTCTTTCATTGAGGGGATTAACTGCAGCTTGTTGTCTGTTTTCTGAACGCACTAGAACTTACATAGCAACACGGATATACATGTAGCTTAGGTTCTTCAAACACTGACTCACTCTTAATGTCTCTTGAGAAGGTTGGACTTGGCACTGGTGTTGGTGGAGCAGGATGGTCCAGCTGGCAACCTGTGGTTGTGTCTGGTCCATGGAGTGGTTCACTTTTTACTGCAGCTTCCTGCACAATGCTCAGACCATTGTCTTGTAGTCTGCTCAGGAAGGCCCAAGAGTTCTCCATGTACACGCTCTGAACTTTTGTTCAGATTTCTAATCCAAGTTGCTGAACTGGTATCCACATCAGAAAATCAAGGGAGACAAAAGGACTCGGCATTAGTCTTCCGTGTTCTGTCTGGGTGTCATCTGAAGGTGCCAGGAAAAAGAGTGACAAACCCCAGAATGCTCACATCTTCACAAGAAGGATGAATTCAACACATGCTCAAACTTTGTAGGGTGGGAGAGAAACATGGCAAGCTAATAAAACAAACCTGGTAGATTTGGTAAGTTTTAGTTGGAGCTGCAAAAGATCAGAATTGACGCAAATTGGATTTTGGTGTTTGTTTTTTTTTTTTTTTTAATTAAACTCAACCAGAAAAAGCATCATAATTGCCAGTGGGTTTTCACAGGACCAGACTGGGCCTTGCTAAAGGTGTAGGAAGCTTTCCCCTGAAATGCATATATAGCAGGTAGCATGTCCTACAAATTTGGACCCATTGGTCTTAACTGGGTAACATAAATGTAATGTGAAAGTTTCAAATGCTGACTAATTATGCACTACTCACACTGAATTACAAAATTATGATATGAAAAGATGCATAAGCATTTACTAAGTGCTATTCATAAACCTGAGGTTGCAAAGAGAAACAGTTAAGAAATAAGTTTAGAATTTTACTTTAATAATTGGCAATTTAATTATTCCATAACTTTGAATTTTGTAACCATTATGGCCATTTTACGATAATAGAAAACCTTTTTTTTTTTGCCAAAAAAAAAAAAAGTAACACTTTATATTTTGATAGGAGATAGAAACAGACTGTTAAATATGGAATGAACCATGACATCAGTAGTTTGTTTCAAGCACCTCCATAAATTCTGAAGATACTTCCTGTAGGCTATTAGCATTTTCTTGTGAAATTGATTTTGTAATATTTAATATACAAGTCAAATGCATTTAAAATACTCTATAAACATATCTATGCGTATATATGTGTTTTTACCTGTGTGTGCACATACACACAAAAATACATAAACTACATAAGCCAAAGTGCTGGTTGCAGTAATAGAAGCAGAAAGAACTAGGGAAGATAGAGTTGGGGGTAAAAATACCAGAAATTTCTAGTATATATGATTTGCTGAGACTTCCAATATGCTTTTGCCTACTCAAGAGCTTCCAGCTTTCGTAGAAGTAACTCTTCCAATCATTGCAGGTCTCACCATAATTACTCCAGTCTTTCCAATGAGTGCAATTACATTTCATGGCACTCTTGCAAAAGACCAGGATTGACAGCTGTGGGTTCTTGGCCAATTTCAAATTTAAATAATTACAATCTACTTCCTATGTTCCTCTCTCGTGGCTTAGAAGAGCACACTGCCGTGCTCTGCAGTTTCGCACTTTGCATGGAGACATCTGCTCCGTCTAGCAATGGAGGTGACTGTCTTTCAGTGTTAGAAAATGGGAGCCTTCAAAATCCTTTGTCAGTCTGCAGAGTGTTTGAGGGTGTTTCAGAATGAAAAGCAGAATTTAAATGTAAAATCAGCATCTTAACACTCAGAGTTTCTTTCAGTATGTCAGCTCAATGTTAAGTGGATCTAAATCACTCTTTTTTACTGACTCTGTTAAGGAGTTTTATAAACATAAATTTTTAAAGGCTTTTAAATCTTTGTATATCTTTTATTTGTATAGCTAGAAAGATTTATTATGATCTGGAGTCCATTAAATAGTACTAAAGTACTTTAAATAGGCATTCGGCATGTCTACAAGGTTGAATATAAAAAGCCAGGAGCTGCAGAGCTCAGTATGCACCAAGCTCAGGCTAAGGTAGTTGCATTACTTCCAGAGCAGACCAGGCTAACTTCCATTCAATTCAAATCTTGGTAGATCCTAAGTGGTGTGTGACTACTTACTAAGTCAAGACTAAGTGTTTGGACCATTAGACTCTACAGGTCTAACAAGATTGTCACCAGTTATTGGCTTTATTTAAAAAATAAATAAATAATGAAATGAACTGGATTTGATTGTATTTCTTTGAAAGAATCAGCGAAAAACTTGCAATATTGGGGTTGAGGTATTTCATTACTTAAATGTTCCACAGATATTGAAATGCTCCACAGATACTAAAAGGCTGAGAGAGATGAGACTTCTTATCCTGGAAAATAGAAGGCTTAGGGAAGATCTCATGTGTATAAATACCTGATGGGAACGAATAAAGAAAGCAGAGCCAGACAGCTCTCAGTGGTGCCCAGTGAACAGACAAGAGGCAGTGGACACAAATTGGAACACGGGAAATTTTGTTTATAAGAAAAACATTCTTTAGTGGAAAACTGGAACAGGTGGAACAGGTTGCCCAAGAGAGGCTGTGGAGCCTCCATCCTTGGAGGTACCCAAAGCCTGATGAGGCCCAGCCCTGAGCAATCTCTTCTGCAGGTGATCCTGCTTGGAGTGTGGTGGTGGAGTGATCTCCAGAGGTCTCTACCAACTTCAACAGCTCTGTGATTCAAATGGCGTCTATTCTGTCAAGTATGCAATTCCTACCTGAACCTAGAAAAGCTTCCACTGTAGGAGAATGAGCAGATAATCAGATAGGGTACTGCACTAGAAAAAAGTGGAGACCCAATTTTTGCCCTTTTCCCATTTCAGTTCTGGTCAAGTTTTTTTGTCAGTCACTTTTCTTTGACTACAAAGATGCTGGGAGATTATAGATGAAAAACTGATTTTTTGATATGTAGAATTGAACAAGCATAGATGTACTTACAAGAGTCAGTGGATGTGTTGAAAAGCTTTTCTTACAGTGAACCACATTCTAGGGATAGTTGGACAGCTGAAGCCAGTGGAAGTTTGGCAGGCACAGATGGGTTGATGTGTAAGAGAGCTGACAGGACCTTCTTAGAAAAGGCCCTTCAGGGCATAATTTTTTTAAGGGTACCCTGGGAGATCTGTGCTGTAGTTGGCATGTTTATTTCATGAGAGATGAACAGGTTGAATTTCACTGAGTGATTAATTTAATTTAATGTTATTTTATTTTATGTAATTTTATATAAATGCATGTCACATATAGTGCTAATAATGCTAGATAGGAATATTTACTTTTTAGTTTAAAATAAATATACAAAACCTGCATGTCTTTCTGTAGACTCTAGCATATATGGGGTTTGTCTACCCTTTTATACCCTTCAACAGGGATTAAGTTAATAATTGTGTCTTTCATTGCATTAACTCATTGTATAGTAAAAATGAAGCCCTGATCTCTCAAGATTTTAATATTCTAAATAATTTTTTCTATGGCCTGATTAAATAAAATGAACTTCATGCATCTTTTAGACGGTAAGAAGCAAAAGACTGACTTATTTGTAAAGTGACACTAGTGATAGTGCATACACTTTCCTCTATTTTGTCCCATTGACAGCAGTTTGCATTTAAAGTGATGCTGAAGTAGTAATTCTGTTGTTCTTTTGATTTTGCTGGGCTTCTTGAAAAGCATGAAGGAAGTTGTGAAACAGACATTATATACATACAGATGTACAGATGTGAAACACACATACATATACATTATATATATACAGATGTCAAGTACAGTTAATGAAGATAAGCAGATGCATTCCTTAATAATAATTAAACAAGGGGAGGATACACATTGTACCCACTTCAATTAAGAATTTTCTCTTCAAGGCTCCATACCTGACAAGGCATGTCAGTTCCTTCATGTCACTTATACCGATATGCTTTTTAAATTATTCCTGAAAATATGCACCACACTATAAACACCACCAGACTTCTATGTCATA